AAAAAATCCCATTCACAATAGCCGCAAAAAGAATAAAATATCTAGGAATACAGCTACACAGCAAGGTGAAAGATCACTACCACAAAGACTGCAAAACACTGCTTAAAGAAGTCAGAAATGGGCTGGGCACAATGGCTTATGTCTATAATCCCAGCACTTTGGGAGGCCAAAGCAGGAAGATCACTTGAGGTCAGGAGTTCAAGACCAGCCTCGCCAACATGGCAAAATCCCATCTCTACTAAAAATACAAAAATCAGCTGGCTGTGGTGGTGGGCATCTGTAATCCCAGCTACTCTGGAGGCTGAGGCAGAAGAATCACTTGAACCTGGGAAGCAGAGGTTGCAGTGGGCCGAGATCACACCACTGCACTCTGGCTTGGGAGACAAAGTGGAAATCCTTCTAAAAAAAAAAAAAGAAAGAAAGAAAGAAAGAAAAGAAAAAGAAAAACAAAGAAGTCAGAAATGACAAAAATAAAAAGTTATTTTGTACTCATGGATATAGAAGATTAACATAATTAAAATGGCCATACTGCCCAAAGAAATGTACAGAGCTAACGTTATTGTTACCAAACTACCAAAAACATGCTCAACAACAACAAAAACTAGTTAAAAATTCACATAGAACCAACAAAGAGCCCAAATAGCCAAGGCACTTCTAAGCAAAAAGAACAAAGCTGGAGGCATTATCCGATTTCAAACTATACTACAGAACTATAGTAATTAAAGCAGCATGGCACTAGTGCACAAACAGACTCATAGGCCAATGCAACAGTATAGAGCCCGGAAATAATGCCACACATCTACAACCATCTGATCTTCAACAAAGCTGACAAGGCGAATGTGGGAAGAATTCCCTATTTAATAAAGAGTGCTGGAATAATTAGCTAACACTATGTAGAAAATTGAAACCAAATGCCTTTATTACACCATGTACCAAAATCAACTCAAGATAAATTAAGGACTTAAATGTGAAACTTAAAATTATAAAATACCCAGCCAGGCGCAATGGCTCACGCCTGTAATCCCAGCACTTTGGGAGGCCGGGGCGGGTGGATCGCAAGGTCAGGAGATTGAGACCATCGTGACTAACACAGTGAAACCCTGTCTCTACTAAAAATACAAAAATTAGCAGGTCATGGTGACGTACACCTGTGGTCCCAGCTGCTGGGGAGGCTGAGGCAGGAGAATGGCGTGAACCCAGGAGGAGGAGCTTGCAGTGAGCCGAGATCACACCACTGCACTCCAGCCTGGGCGACAGAGTGAGACTCTGTCTCAACAAAAAAAAAAAAAAACATATATATATAAAATACCCTGGAAGACAACCTAGAAAATACCATTCTAGACATAGAAACTGGCAATAATTTTATGATGAAGATAAGAAAAACAATTGAAACAAAAGCAAAAATTGACTAATGGGACCTAATTAAAGAGCTATTTCACAGCAAACTATCAACAGTAAACAGTCAACCCACAAACCAAAAGAAAATATTTGCAAACTATGCTTTTGAAAAAGGTCTAATATCCAGCATCCATAAGGAACATAAATAAATTTATAAGAAAAAACAACCTTGTTAAAAAATAGGCAAAAGACATGAACAGATGCTTTTCAAAAAAGACATACATGTGGCTAACAAGCATATGAAAAAAATGCACATCACTAGTTATCAGAGAAATGCAGAGAAAAACTACAATGAGATACCATCTCACATCAGTCAGAATTGCTATTATTAAAGTCAAAAAATCACAGATGCTGGCAAGGTTGGAGAAGGGAATGGTTATACACTATTAGTGGGAGTATAAATTAGTTCAACCACTGTGAAAAGCAGTGTGACAATTTGTCACAAAACTAAAAAGAGAATTACCATTTGACAAAGCAACCTCATAATTGGATATATACTCAAAGTAATACATTTTATCGTAAAGACAATGCACATGCATGTTCACTGCAGCCCGATTCACAATAACAAAAACATGGAATCACCTGGTATGCCTATCAATGACAGACTGGATAAAGAAAATATAATATAGTAGGGTATGTCGGCTCATGCCTGTTTGGGAGGCCAAGGGATTTGGATTGCCTGAGCTCAAAAGTTCGAGACCAGTCTGGGAAATGTGGAAAAATCCCATCTCTACGAAAAATACAAAATGAAAAATTAGGCCGGGTGCGGTGGCTCATGCCTGTAATCCCAGCACTTTGGGGGGCTGAGGCAGGCAGATCATAAGGTCAGGAGTTCAAGATCAGCCTGGCCAACATGGTGAAATCCTGTCTCTACTAAAAATACAAAAATTAGCTGGGTGTCGTGTGGTGTGTCTGTAATCCCAGCTACTCAGGAGGCTGAGGCACAAGAATCACTTGAACCCAGAAGGCGGAGGTTGCAGTAAGCCAAGATTGCGCCACTGCACTGCAGCCTGGCAACAGAGGGAGGCTCTGTTGAAAGAGGAAAAGAAAGAGAGAAAGAAAGAAAGAGAGAGAGAGAGAGAGAGAGAGAGAGAGAAAGAAAGAGAGAGAAAAAGAGGGAAAGGAAAGGAAAGGAAAGGAAAGGAAAGGAAAGGAAAAAGGAAAGGAAAAAGGAAAGGAAAAAGGAAAGGAAAAAGGAAAGGAAAAAGGAAAGGAAAAAGGAAAGGAAAGAGAGAGAGAGAGAGAGAAAGTTGTTGTTATTGTTGTTGTTGTTGTTGTTGTTGTTGTTGTTGTTGTTGTTATATATGTTGCTGTTGTTATATGTTGTTATTGTTGCTGTTGCTGAAAGAAAGAAAGAAAGAAAGAAAGAAAGAAAGAAAGAAAGAAAGAAAAGGAAAAGAAAAAGGAAAGGAAAAAGGAAAGGAAAAAGGAAAGGAAAAAGGAAAGGAAAGGAAAGGAAAGGAAAGGAAAGGAAAGGAAAGGAAAGGAAAGGAAAGGAAGAAAGGAAGAAGAAAAATTAGCCAGGCATAATGGTGCATGCCTGTAGTCCCAAGTACCTGGGGGGCTGATGTAGGAGGATTTCTTGAGCCCAGGAGGTTGAAGCTGCAGCGAGCCAAGATCACACCACTGCACTCCAACCTGGGGTACAGCATGAGACCCTGCCTCTAAAAATAAATAAAACAAAAGACTTAATAAAAACAAAATATGGTACATAAACATCATGGAATACTCTGTGGCCATAAAAAAGACCAAGATTATTTTCTTTTGCAGCAACATGGATAGAGCTGCAGACCACTATCTTTAGAAAATTAATACAGAAACAGAAAACCAAATGCATTTTCTCATTTATAAGAGCTAAATAAGAACACATGGACACAAAGAGAGGAACAACAGACACTGAGGCCTAGTTTAGGGTGGAGGATGAAAGGACAAAAAGGATCAAATCAATACCTGTTTAGCGCTATGCTTAGTACCTCAGTGACAAACTAATCTGCACACCAAAACCCCGTGACACAATTTTACCTATATAATAATCCTGCATGTGTACCCCTGAATCAAAAATGAAAGTTAAAAGAAAAAAAAAAAAAATCAGCCAGGCATGGTGGCTCACACCTGTAATCCCAGAGCACTTTGGGAGGCCAAGGTGGGCAGATCACCTGAGGTCAGGAGTTTGAGACCAGCCTGGCCAACACGGTGAAACCCATCTCTACTAAAAACACAAAATTAGCCGGGTGTGGTGGCGCACGCCTGTAATCCCAGTTACTCGAGAGGCTGAGGCAGGAGAATCACTTGTACCCGGGAGGTGAAGGTTGCAGTGAGCTGAGATTGTATCATTGCACTCCAGCCTGGACAAAAAGAGCAACACTCCATCTTAAAATAAAAAAAAGACAAGAAAAGAAAAAGAAAAAACAAAATCCATGGGTTGGGGAGAGTACAATGTAGGTGGAAGGACTGGTCTGTGCTACAGACAGTGGCCCAGGTAGGGCTGTCCTCTGATTTGTGTCCATGCAGGCAGATGAGATTATGAACTGATGGTCCAGAATCCTAGGCTGGTGGAGAAAACAGGTTCGTAGTGCAGATTCAGTGTCTTGGTACAGGAATATGTCAGGAGTCTTGTAGACACTTTTGTGGGTTTTGGCAAGAAATACCAGGATAAAATATGCTGTGGCGAAATTCCTGCAGGTGGTGCCTAGTCCTGGGAGGGGTGTGAGCACGTCAATGTCTAGTATCTTTTCTTTTAGAAAATCAAAGTTGGTGATTTATTTTTATTTTTTATTATGTTAAAGGTGACAGATCTTGGCTTAAGAAAAACCAGATTTGCGACTAAAGGAAACATTTTCTTGGAGCTTTTCATTGTTCTGGCTTATATTTTCTTTTAAAAAGTAACTTTCCATAAGTTAAAGTTAGCACTTTCACAAATACTAGCAGAGTCACTAAATGAACTATTAACATCAAAACAAAAAACATGATTAAGAAGTATTTTATTATTTTGCTGCAAAGCTGTTGCTTCACTGTATAAAAATACCATCAGCAAATGCAGTGTATTGCAAAATTAAGATAGTGTTGTTCCTCATCTGACACTGTACAAGCAACAGAAACCTCTTCACTCTCAGTTATTTCCAGTAGAAAGATCATTATTTCAGCCCAAATTTACAATATTATATAAGGCTTAAGAATAATAACGTTATCTTTGAATTATGTAATTTTTATAGCCAGTTTTTACCATGGATAATTTCATGACTTCTGAATACTAGAGCCTAGACTAAAAATCATAGGATATTGTGAAAAAGACGCGTAATATATTTATCCATAATCATTAGAAAGTTAAAGGGCATTTTCTTTTTTTTTTTTTTTTTTGAGACGGAGTCTCGCTCTCTCGCCCAGGCTGGAGTGCAGTGGCCGGATCTCAGCTCATGGCAAGCTCCGCCTCCAGGGTTTAAGCCATTCTCCTGGCTCAGCCTCCCCAGTAGCTGGGACTACAGGCGCCCGCCACCTCGCCCGGCTAATTTTTTGTATTTTTTTGGTAGAGACGGGGTTTCACCGTGTTAGCCAAGATGGTCTCGATCTCCTGACCTCGTGATCCGCCCGTCTCGGCCTCCCAAAGTGCTGGGATTACAGACTTGAGCCACCGCGCCCGGCCTCAGGGCATTTTCTTTCATTAGCAGTGTTAACAGTTTTTTATCCCCATTGGTAATGCTAAAAGTTGCTATTCTAAGTCTTCCATCCACTACTAATTCAGGACAACTCTGCTGGGTTGCGTTATTTCACACTAGTTTATTTAGGGGTTCCATTTTCACTCCTCAATAGATTTTATGTATCTCTCATATGCTTCTTCACTCATAAGTTCTTCTAGTTCTGAAGGGTTACTCAGTGTCATCTTGATCAGCCAACCATCTTCATAACAAGATTTGTTTACAAGTCCTGGATTTTCTCCAAGAGTTTCATTAATTTCAGTTACTTCTCCTGATAAAGGAGAATAGAGTTCACTAGCAGCTTTCACACTTTCCAAAGCACCGAACTCATCTTGTTTGTTCACTTTTGTCCCAACTTCAGGCAGACTACAGTAAACATCTCCCAACGCTTCCTGTGCAAAATTGCTGATTCCCAGTGTTCCAATACCATTTTCTGTTGTTATCATCATGTTTCTCTGTGAATTTACACAGCGAGAGCAAAGCGGGTCCCGTGCGCAGCTTTCGGACGGCGCCCACCCCCAGCTGCCAGGGCCTAGGCGGGCAGGGCGTGGCAGGCGACAGGACTGCCGCGCAGGGTGCAGAGCACAGCCCGCATGCTCAGCGCCATGTTCGCAGGGGTGCTGGGGGTCGCAGCGCTACGCCTCGGCCAACTGCGCGGGGAGGGGGGGAGGGGCGGGGTGGGGTGGGGCCTCTAGTAGGTATCTTTGCTAGTGGGTGAAAATCCTGTGGTGGCAGCTGTGGGGAAAAGGGAATCTGTTATCAGCGCTCCTTTCCTCTTAAGTTTTCAGTCCTCTCTCACCCTGGGAGGTGACCTGGAATCACAGGATACTGGGCAGTGTGACAGCCTGTGTACAGGAGAGCAGAGCCTCCCATTCCCAGACCTAGAGTTCCATTCCAGGCTAGGCCTCTGAGATATCTTTCTTCTGGCACCAAATCCGTAGTTTGCTAAATATCAAGTAATTCTCCAACACCAATGCACTGTCTAAAACTTGAATTCTGTTAGTCCAAGCTGCACCATTTTGTAAGCCCCACCATTTCGCAGACAATGGTCAGAATGAAACATTCCACAGGGGTTCGGGCCGTGACAAACATCCTGCCCAACCACCGGACTTTCTTATGACACCCGTCTGTGTAAAAGTCCAAGCAACCTCCTTATTACATCTTGCTGGAAAAACGGCCAAACTGCCTGATCACAAGAACATCTTATCAACATCCATCCAGGCAGCAAGCCATACTGCCCCGATGCCTCCCACCAGTCTGAGCCAACATACAATTCCATTTTATGCCCTTCCTAAAAACATGCTGACTTCAGGGTACAATACTTTCTAATCCAAAATCTGATATTTTCTCACTCCATTTGCCATTCCCCTTCCACCTTCTTTCTAATCTTGTTTGCTCCTCCCTATGAAAGCCTTTGTCTGCCTAAGCTTTGCAATCCTTAAAGATTTTATAGTTGGTACTTCCTTCTGTTGCAATACTCTTTTAAAACTCAAATGTTTTAACATAAACCTAATTTTGTTTTATTTTACAAAATCTAGAAACTGCCTCAAAATAACAACTTTATTTTCAGTAAGACCCTCCCATTCCTTTTCCATTTTAACCTTAACTGCATCTGCCTGTGGGTCCCCAGCTTTCCAGGGCTCTGTAGCTTCTCTCAGTATAAAGCCTTCTTCCATGCCTGGGGTGAGCAAGCTGGGACATCTGCAGGGGCGGCTCCCCAGAAAGAACTAACTGGGCCTTTAATAACCTCCTTTTGCAGACTCAATATTAGCCTTAGCTTGAAGTCACTGGGCTCAAGCCTTTATTCCATGTCAGTTATTCATTTGGTTTTTGAAACTGTTTGAAAAATCCAGCAAAATTACTCAAACATGGTGTTAATATAAGAATTTTTTTTTTTTTTTTTTTGAGACAGAGTCTTGCTCTGTTGCCTAGGCTGGAGCGCAGTAGCACAATCTCAGCTCACTGTAATCTCTGCCTCCCAGGTTCAAGCGATTCTCTTCCCTCAGGCTCCTGAGTAGCTGAGATTACAGGCACCCACCACCACGCCTAATTTTTGTATATTTAGTAGAGACAGGGTTTCACCATGTTGGCCAGGCTGGTCTTGAACTCCTGACCTCAGGTGATCCACCTGCTTTGGACTCCCAAAGTGCTGGAATTACAGGCATGAGCCACCATACCCGGCCAACAGTCATATTTTATACCTCAATAAGAAATGCAAAAGTATATATTCCTCTCAGAAAATAAACCCATTATTATTTCTATTAAAAATTATGTAGTAGGCCAGGCACGGTGGCTCACACCTGTGATCCCAACACTTTGGGAGGCTGAGACAGGTGGATCACAAGGTTAGGAGATCGAGACCATCCTGGATAACACAGTGAAAACCCGTCTCTACTAAAAATACAAAAAAAAAAAAAAAAATTAGCCGGGCGTGGTGGCACTCTCCTGTAGTCCCAGCTACTTGGGAGGCTGAGGCAGGAGAATTACTTCAACCTGGGAGGCAGAGATTGCAGTGAGTCCAGCTTGTGCCACTGCACTCCAGCCTAGGCAACAGAGCGAGACTGTCTCATAATAAAATAAAATAAAAATTATGTAGTAAACAACTAGTCATATGGCAACACTTCTAGGAGTACCAAGTTTCAGCTCATAAAATTTAGCATAAATCTCAGAAATCAAGATGATAGGATATAAAACATAGTCAGTGTCACAAATTTACCAAAAGAGGAAGTGATGTTTAAATAAATCTATGAAACTCACCAATTATTTACCACATTTTCTTGTGCAAATGTATTTATTTTCTGTAGTCAAAATGAAAGACATTTTTTCTATTCTTTTCCTTGGTAGCATTCTAAAAGCTAAGTCTTGGAATTCTGTTTGTAATCACCCAGCCATTTAAAAAAGACACACACACCTGAGAAAATTCCAGAACTCACTCTGGGCAAGAAAAAGGTAAATGAGAATTGTTAACAAATGGAGTATGAAATTAGATATTAATTTACTCTGAAACCCACCTCTTTGATGCCCTTTGTGAACATTTTCTTACCTTTTAAGTCCTACTAATAAAATGCCAATTACAGTTTAAAAGCTGAAGTCAAAATAAGTGAATAAATTTTCTCAAGGTAACAAACCTAACGAGCGGCAGTACTAATAAGGAAACAAATGTATCTGACTCACGTGTCAAATCAGCCATCTAATCACTTGATTCTCCCACTCCATCCTGCTTAAGTTCTCAAAGACCACCCTCTCAGGAGACACTGCCCTGTGCCTCAGTGAGTGCCCCAGGTGCTTTTTACTTTGCAAGTTCTTGTACCATTTCACTGGGGTCGTGTTTGGGTTTTTTGTCTTTGGGGATACTATTTTTTCTTTCACAAATCTTAGAGAATACAGAGGGCAGAAATTATTTCTGTGCTTTACCCTCAATGGCAGCATCTGATTGGCTAACCAGCAATGTGTCTCCAAGAAATAAGCTGGGTTGGGTGAAGACAATCAGTATCTAAAAAAGCCTGGGCATGGTAGCTCACACCTGTAATCCCAGCACTTTGGGAGGCAGAGATGGGCAGAATACCTATGGTCAGGAGTTTGAGACCAGCCTGGCCAACATGACGAAACCCCGTCTCTACTAAAAACACAAAAATTAGGCCGGGCACACGCCTGTAATCCCAGCACTTTGGGAGGCCGAGGCAGGCGGATCACGAGGTCAGGAGATCAAGTCTATCCTGGCTAACACGGTGTAACTCTGTCTCTATCAAAAAAACAAAAAATAGCGGGGGTGGTGGCGGGCGCCTGTAGTCCCAGCTACTCAGGAGGCTGAGGCAGAAGAATGGCAGGAATCAGGGAGGCAGAGCTTGCAGTGAGCTGAGATCCGGCCACTGCACTCCAGCCTGGGCGACAGAGAGAGACTCCATCTTAAAATAAATAAATAAATAAATAAATAAATAAATAAATAAATAAATGGAAAAGAGGCACAGAGACTTTTACAATAAAGCGTCAGGGGTATTATTCTTTGCTTTCTTATGGAAAATATTTTCAAACAGAAAAAAAAGTGCCATTCAACACTTTATCAAAAAATGATTAAAATATGGAATATAAAATGCACACTGAATGACAAAAATTTAAATGCATTCTAAATCTAATGCTTTTTTTTTTTTTTTTTCTTTGAGACAGAGTTTCGCTCTTGTTGCCCAGGCTGGAGTGCAATGAGGCGATCTCGGCTCACCGCAACCTCCGCCTCCCGGGTTCAAGCGATTCTCCTGCCTCAGCCTCCTAAGTAGCTGGGATTACAGGCATGTGCCACCACGCCCAGCTAATTCTGTATTTTTAGTAGAGATGGGGTTTCACCTTATTAGCCAGGATGGTCTCAATCTCCTGACCTCATGATCCACCCGCCTCGGCCTCCCATTGTGCTGGGATTACAGGAGTGAGCCACCGTGACCAGCAATCTAATGCCTTTTTTTTTGTAAATTACTCTTTGGGGAAACAAAATTCAGCCTTAACCAACCATAAACTGCCAACTAACCATGATTACACAACCAGGAAATTTCCACCTTGATCATACAAATTAAGAAACTACGTAACTCTACAAAATCAATTATTGAATTTGGGTTTCTCCATAATGCACTTTATATATAAAGTTTTTTCCATCATGCACTATATATATATAGTTTTTCTTTTATATATAAAGTTTTAGGGACATGGATGAAGCTGGAAACCATCATTCTGAGCAAACTATCGCAAGGACGGTAAACCAAACACCGCATGTTCTCACTCATAGGTGAGAACTGAACAATGAGAACACTTGGATACAGGGTGAGGAACATCACACACCGGGGCCTGTCGTGGGGTAGGGGGAGGGGGGAAGGATAGCATTAGGAGATACACCTAATGTAAATGACAAGTTAATGGGTGCAGCACACCAACATGGCACATGTATACATATGCAACAAACCTGCACATTGTGCACATGTACCCTAGAACTTAAAGTATAAAAAAAAATTTTCTAAACCTAAAAAATAAAGTAATCGTTATAGAAAGTGCTATGTAGAGATATTATAAGAAAAGCAGTAAAATCTCATTATAAAGAAAAATAAAGTTTTATATAGAGAGTTTTTCATGGACCACAAACTACAAACCATAGCTAGCTGGATGCTCTTCAATTCTTGAATTACTCTTTGATTTTATTCTTTAATATTTTTGCCTTGACTCGCTTAATTTTTATTTTTTTCTTTTTTTTTTGAGACGGAGTTTCGCTCTTACTGCCCAGGCTGGAGCGCAATGGCCTAATCTCAGCTCACTGCAACTTTCGCCTCCCGGGTTCAAGCGATTCTCCTGCTTCAGCCTCCAGAGTAGCTGGGATTACAGGCGCCCGCCACCACGCCTGCCTAATTTTTGTATATTTAGTAGAAATAGGGTTTCACCATGTTGACCAGACTGGTCTTGAACTTCTGACCTCAGTGATCCACCTGCCTCGGCCTCCCAAAGTGCTGGAATTACCGCGTAAACCACCGCGCCCGGCCCGACTCCCACAGATTTTTAATTTAAAAAAAAAAAAAAAGCGGGAGGACTGGAAACACCACGGACCAAAGCTCCTCTTCTCATTCATGAACCCCACACTCTGAGTCACGATTTTCCCTTGACTACCGTCCAGTGGTTCCGGCACAATAGGGGAGAGATGCGGCGCTGCGGGTGCAGAGCTGCCCAGAGAGGGCTCCAGGTCATGGCACAGTCACTGCGCAAGGAGGAGACACGACGCCCGGGGTCCCGGCTGTCAGCCCAGCCGCCATCTTATGGCTGAAGGGGACTGAGGGCCGAGCTGCGCCAAGGACAACTCTGGCCAAGGAGAACTTGGGACACGGATTTTGGAGCCGACAGCGGGGAGGCAGGAGTCCAGCCACAGCCTCTTCAGACTGGTTCCAACCAGCCCCTCCCCGTCTCTCGGTGCGTCGGACCCGGCCGACTCACCATTTCTAGGCTTCCTGGGGGGTCCTGGCATCTTAAGCTGTGGATCTCCCAATACCTACAGGTTACAGGGACACAGAGGTTAGGCCTGTAGGACCAGAAAACACAGAACAAAGAAGACAAGACCTGGAGCTGCGGTTGCAACCAAAGACCGCGCCAAATCCCGAAAGCCGTCCTGTCCGCTCCAGTTGCGTTCCTGATTGGATAGATCGCAGCCCAGCGTCCCTGATTGGATAACGTTTAACATCCCACCCCCTCAGGCCCTGAGTGACAGAAGACGTGCTCAGGGGCCGGGCTGAATGAAAATAGAGTGAAACCTAAGCTGCAGCTTTTTCAGGCAGGGCTTCCTCCCTGAACTGAGCCAGGCCTGCCCCAGAGGGTATTTGCATTTAACCATGTGTATAAGATCATATGCATTTATAAATAATATATGGCTATTCACAAGTGAAGATAATGTAATAACAATTATTTTGAAATTCCAGATTTTATTAACTTACCAGCTTCTGGTCCTTTGAGTAGGCAGCCTGGGATTTTAAAAAGAAGGCAATTCTCTGAAATAAAATGTGGGCCACATGTGAATTCTAAATTTTCTAGTAGTCAATTTTTTTTTTTTTTTTTTTTTTTTTGAGAGGGAGTCTCACTCTGTTGCCAGGCTGGAGTGCAGTGGTGCCGTCTCGGCTCACTACAATCTCTGCCTCCTGGGTTCAAGCAATTTTCCTGCCTCAGCCTCCTGAGTAGCTGGGATTACAGGCGCCCGCCACCATGCCCAACTAATTTTGTATTTTTAGTAGAGACGGGGTTTCACCATGTTGGTCAGGTTGGTCTCGAACCCCTGACCTCGTGATCCACCCGCCTCGGCCTCCCAAAGTGCTGGGATTACAGCCAGGCCTGAGCCACCGCGCCCGGCAATAGTAGTCAAATTTTAAGAAGAAAGAAGCAACAGGTGGAATAAATGGCAACCATTTAATTAACCCAATATATCCAAAATATTATCATTTTAATGTGTGAGCAATGTGTAATTATTAATGAAGTATATTTAATTTTCACTCTAACTTCCTAGCACATCGCAGTTCAGACCAGCCACATTCCAAGCACCCAGTAGCTACATATACCTAATAATTGTCACATTGAAGTGCAGCTGTGATGTCAGGGTGGGTGAAGGGCCTGAAAATCCCTTTTCTGCCAAAGGTGAAGGAAGAGCCTCTTCCTACCAGCATCTCTCTTTAGTTCCGAGGGTGCAACAGATAATGACCATAGAAAGGGCAGAAGGTGGCCGGGCACGGTGGCTCACACCTATAATCCCAGCACTTTGGGAGGCCAAGGCGGGCAGATCACTTGAGGTCAGGAGTTCAAGACCAGCCTGGCTATCACGGCAAAAACCCATCTCTACTAAAAATATTAAAATTAGATGGATGTGGTGGCTGGTGCCTGTAATCCCAATTCCTTGGGAGGCTGAGGCAGGAGAATGGCTTGAGCCCCAGAGGCGGAGGTTGCAGTGAGCGAGATCATGTCACTACACTTCAGCCCAGGCAACAGAGCAAGACTCTGCCTCAAAAAAAAAGAAAGAAAAGAAAACAAAGAAAGAAAAGAAAAAAAAGAAAGAACAGAGGGCAGCAGAAATAAAATAACCCCAGGTAGACCACTGCTGGCCACCTGTTTCCCATTTTTGTTGCAGAGATCAAGCAGTGAACAAAGGATGATGGGTCCACAGCAGAAAAATACTCTGTGTCTTCAGATATGTTCACAGTCTTGACCTCTAATGTATAAATATAGAGAAAACAGATGAAAGGTAAACTTATTTTGCCATTTGGCCTTGGCCCTAATGGTCAGGCTGTGGTTATCTGTTTTCTCCTGTGGTTTGTGGGAATGTGTGAGTATAAGCACCAATCACATGCACATATGTCTACATGTATTTATTTATTTCTCAATATTACAAAACATCCAACTTTAAATCAAGAAAAAAAAGTCAGCACTTTTAGGGTACCCACTGTTAGAAGGTAACTAGTAATCAACCTGCCATTAAATTTTGGCATCCTATCTGCACTGGATACCTGTATTAGTTAGCTCTTAGAGCATAACAAACCATCCAAAACTTCTTAGATCATAATCGTGATGGTCAGCCATTTAGGCAGGGCTTGGTGGGGCCATTCTTCTGGCCTCAACTGAACTCCTTCAGACATGTATCATCAGCTGCCTGTCAACTAGGCAGCTGTGCTTCTGGGCATGAGCTTCTGCTTCTGGGATTGTCAACAAGGGGCACCTTGCTTCTCCTCCCCATTGTATCTTATCCTCTAGCTGGCAAACATGGGCTTTTTTCATGGAGATGGTAGCATTCTGAAAAACAATTAGAAGCATTTAAAACGATTTGAGCCTAGGCCTCAAACTAGCACACTGTCATGTTCACAGGTTTCTACCACCTTGAACAAATAAGGCCAGCCAGATCTGGAGTTTGGAAAACAGATTCTGGATCTCGATGGGAACGCCTGTAAAAGCACCTGGCAATGGGCATAGAACAGGGAGAATAAAAAATTGCTACCACTTGTGCAATCAGAATCATTCTGTTTTTTGGTTTTTTGTTTTGTTTTGTTTTTGAGTATATGTGGCTTATAGAACTCTTCCACATCAACAAATTGCCCAAACACCCACAGCTATTAAGTGACTGGGCTGAGACTCACTCCCCAGGGCTCTAAATCCTGGAGAGTAACACTTCTAAAATAGAAGCCAGATTCCTTTTAGATTTGTGCCCAAATAGTACTATTTATTATTGGAAATAATCTCAATAAATTACATAAGCACATGGTGGCTCATACCTGTAATTGTAGCACTTTGGCAGACTGAGATGAGAGAATCATTTGATATCAGGAGTTAAAGTACAGCCTTGGTAACATGGTAAGATCCTGTCTCCATGAAAAATACATTATCCAGGAATGATAATGCATGCCTTTATTCCCAGCTACTCGGGTGGCGGGGGCAGGAGGATTGCTTGAGCCTGGAAAGTTAAGGCTGCAGTGAGCCATGATTGGTTACACCACTGCACATTAACCTTTTGAGACCTTGTCTCAAAAAAAAATTAAAATAGCCAGGCATGGTGGCTCAGGACCGTAATCCCAGAACTTTTGGAGGCTGAGGCAGGCAGATCACCTGAGGTTGGGAGTTCGAGACCAGCCTGACCAACATGGAGAAACTCCCTCTTTACTAAAAATAGAAAATTAGTCAGGTGTGGTGGCACATGCTTGTAATCCCAGCTACTCCGGAGGCTGGGGCAGGAGAATCGCTTGAACCCGGGAGGTGGAGGTTGCAGTGAGCCAAGATCGCGGCATTGCACTCCAGCCTGGGCAGCAAGAGCGAAACTCCATCTCAAAATTAATTAATTAAATTAAAAAGAAAATTACAGAAGATTTCCTTTTGTTTGTTTTTTTTTTTTTTTTTTTTTTTCCAGATGTAGTCTTGCTTTGTCACCAGGCTGGAATGCAGTGGCACGATCTCGGCTCATTGCCACCTGCGCCTCCCAGGTTCAAGCGATTCTCCTGCCTCAGTCTCCCAAGTAGCTGGGATTAGAGGTGCACACCACCACACCCAGCTAATTTTTGTATTTTTAGCAGAGATGAGGTTTCACCATGTTGGCGTAATCCCAGCACTTTGGGAGGCTGAACTTTTGACCTCAGGTGATCTGCCGACCTTGACTTCCCAAAGTGCTGAGATTACAGACCTGAGCCACCACGCCTGGCCAAATTTCTAAAAACTTCAAAAACATGCACAATCCTAGAGTATTATGTTTCTTTTTGAGTGTGTGTGTGTGTGTGACGGAGTCGCACTCTGTTGCCCAGGCTGGAGTGCAATGGTGCGATCTTGGCTCACTGCAACCACTGCCTCCCGGGTTCAAGCTATTCTCCTGCCTCAGCCTCCTGAGCAGTTGGGATTACAGGCATCCGCCACCATCCCCAACTAATTTTTGTATTTTTAGTAGAGATGGGTTTCACCATGTTGGTCAGGCTGGTCTCAAACTCGTGACCTTGTGATCCACCCGCCTCAACTTCCCAAAGTGCTGGAATTACAGGTGTGAGCCACTGTGTCTGGCCGAGTATTGTGTCTTTAAGAAGGTTCATGAAAAGATGGAAAAAGTCCAGACAAGGTGAGTACAGGTTTCTGATAATTTTAGGATTGTATTGTTTGGACCAGGTAGGAATCGTAAGAATTCTAAAGAAGAGATGGACTTATAAAACTACTAATTTAGGCAAAACAAAAATTAATTAAACATCAGGAAAATAGTCTGCCACAATTTTATGGTACAACTGAAATTTTTTAGATATGCTATTTGAATAAACTCTGTCATTCAAGTCAAATTACCTGTGAGAATCCCTCAGTTATCAGTGCTATGGACCTAAATTGGAGAAATAAGTCTGGTATTAAACAGGACATAAATTCAATGTTAAGTGTGGATTCATGGAGAATCTAGACAATCAATAGCCACTGTTCATTAATGAGTTCTTAATGTTTCCATTATTGAAAACTCTGTATTCCATTAATCATCACAAAAGAGATAAAATAATATAAATTAAATAAAAATTAAAGGCTGGGCATGGGAAGCTGAGGCAGGAGAATAGCTTGAACCCGGGAGGCAAAGGTTGCAGTGAACCAATATCACACCATTGCACTCCAGCCTGGGTAACAAGTTATATATAAATTAGATGAGTGTGTGCGTGTGTGTGGTGACTATTCTAAATTACTAAAATACATTAATTTTTTTTGGTCGAACATAGTATCCTGAGAAGACAATCAAAACTTCATGTACTACTGAAGTACATTCTACTACCTGATGGGCCATTTAAACATTTACAGAGAAATTTTATTCAATTATCATTTATAATGCATATTTTATGGTAATATAATAGTTTTCTCACACAAGAAGGCTGATGTTATAATACTAGCTAAAAGGATATGAGGAAATATGTATTCCTCATGGGACATTTCTAAAAAAGTCTTCAATAATAAAAATACTTATTTCACTAGACAAGCTGTAAATCTGTTAAATAAGGTATTACAGATACAATAGTATTGAGCAAAGCTAACTAAATTGACTGGATTGCTCTTGTAATTGCAGGTTGATGACAATCAGATCCACTTAGAGTGGGAAAAATTTGTTGACCCTTATAAAATAGTAATTGGAAGGCCTATGCACCCCATGATAGAACC